CTGTTACCTGCCGGCGGCCATCTTAGTGATAGTGGTATGGCACCGGGTCCTCTCCTCTCTCATGCAACTGTACGGCTCTTGGTTCTTGACTGAGTGCCCGACTGTTCAGAGCGGGCGACACCAAAATGACTATCAGTCATTTTGGTGTAACCTCCTCCAATGGTGTCACTCAGGTGTGGGCCGCAGCCCCCTAGTGACTCCACTGCCCTTAACCACTGATACTCACTTTCATCATGCTCCCGCAGCATTCCATTGCTCCTTTAGAGCCCTTGGTAAATACTTCTGGTATGGAAAAGAATGTGACCCCCTTCCAGGAGACAGTGCTTGTGCCTGAACAGCCAAAGCCTAAATGGGCAAAGTCACAGTCTCTTTAAAGCCCTGTTCCCCTTTTGACATGAGCACATTTCTCTGCAGCCTCCTTCTGTGAGCCCAAGGCAGCTTGATGATGCCTGCCTGCATGATGTCACTGTGGGTGAACTGAAAACTGAATTCAATTATACAGTACAGTGATTTGATATTTTATGCTACACTGGCAAGACAGCAATCAAAGTCCATGCATCTCATAATCATTAAAGTATACATCGCTTTATAAAGACCTGTGATTACTAAGCACCCCTGCAGATCACGCATCTCGAGTACTTATTGACATGGGCATATTATAACCAGAACCACTGTGAGATATAGCTGGAAAGTTTTTCAAGGACTCAGTCCACTCAGCAGAATGCATTTTAGGGCGTTTTTTGCCCACTTTTACGCAACCAAATGTCAGCGTTACATGGCATTCTGCCCACACAGAGGTTATTTAACATAACGAACATTTCACCCTCCTGGCTCTTTTGTAGTACAGCTCTGACAAGTCCTTCCTAGAACAAAGCTGCCTCAATCTCAGTCTCTCTGCTTAACTGAATCCTTCAGCCACCAAACTGGACCTATTGTCTCCTCACATTTACACAACTGTTTGCTTAGCTTAGACACGCTGATCTGTTCTGATGTGAACTACCTCTGTCTGATACAATCTCTAACTCTCAGATGTCAGTGTGGCTCGACAACCTGTCTGTGTAGGCCAGACAGACCTGGACACGCGCTCCCCCACGAGTCAGGCCTCAAGGAGCTACATAGGAGCAAAGACTGATTAGAGAATACTCTCTTTTGTGGGCAAAAACACTATCTGCATCTTTACACAGTGACAGACCTCACTCCAAATGTAAACCCTTCCAAATATAGGAGATGGGTTCAAAGATGACTCATTAGACCAGGCTCAGTTGCTTCGAGGTCTATAGGTTGTTCTGCTTACAAGTTATACATTTTATGTGTGGCCGTTGGATACAAGTGTCTTCTGAATGGAAGCCTGCCATATATTTATGCATTGTGAAAATCATGCCGTAGTATTGTCCTATTTTTCAATGCAGAGTGTTCATTACAGTAAAAAACAAAAACGTACACAGAATAAACCGCTTCTTGTCCAACTTCATGTTGTGATCACTTGTCTTCTTCAGAGTCCAAAAATTCAACAGTTTATTCCCGATATTGCAGCCACCATTGGTAAATGTGTGCGATCATATACGTGAGTCTTCTCCAAGAAGAGAAAGTTGGATTTCTGTAGTTGTGCTTCCCCCTTACCCTTTAATAATTTTGTTGCCCTTCTCTGAGCTCCCTCTAGTTCAAGGACATCTTTACTGAGCACTGCTGACCAAAACTGAACCGCACACTCAAGAAGATGAGGTCAAACCAGTGTTTTGTAGAGTGGTAGAATTATAGTTTTGAATAAATACTTTTTCAATGATGGTATTCTTCTGGCTTTGCCAGCTGCAGCTTGCCATTGTCTACCAGGGCCCCCAGATCTTTCTCCATTCCTGATGTCCCCAGAATGCTGGTGACTTTCCATAAAGAATTTTATTTAGCTACTATATGGATTGACCAAGGAAGGGATCAAGGGGGCTGGGAGGGTGATATATGAGGGCCTTGTTTGAATGCACCTACATTTTAAGCACAATTTGGCCTCTTTGGATCTCTCTTAGTTTTCTCATATTATTCTAAAAAATCTGATGTGTTTGTACATGATTTAGGTACTCCAAGCATAGTTGTATACAAATGTAAATATCCCCGTAATCCAGCAATATTTTCTATAAGAAAGGCCCCATGCACGCAGGCGTCTGGGGATGTCTTCGGCAAGAACCTATTTTTGGGGTAAGAATCTAAGGTGTGTCCGCTCAGATGTCTGTGGCTGTACACATGCAATCGTATGGTACAATTACCTACAGATTAGGAGAGATGATTGTACTGGGACGCAGAGAGCTTCTGGTCAGCCACAGACAGATGTGGCTGCTGTCACTCTGTCATTAACTTGAATAGACACAGCGCTACATTTGTATGGACATGCCTGGGATTTCTGCCACAAGAATCCACAGGATCTTGCCACAGGAATCCCCAGACACCCATGTGCATGGAACCTTAAATAATACTTGTAACGTAATTTACTGCACAGTAATCAGACCGTGATAGGAAGGGGCATTACTAAAGTCAATCAGGCTTTACATTGCAGAGTGGCTGATATGAGATGAGAACATGGGGTTGACCTCATCAGTGTGTTACTACTTCATCAATCACAGTGTGGGTTAGTCTCTGACCAAGCTGTATTTTTTTTTAAATTGCTGCACCGAAAAGTAAGGTCTGATCTTGGCAGTACTGGCAGGGATTTCTGGGTTAGAAAGCTAGCTGAACACAATAACATCTATTTTACAAATATGACGTTGTTTAATTACATATTTCAACTGAATATTTAGCTCTCTGTCTTTGCTTTTACTTTAAAGTCTTTTGAGTGTGTTATTTCTATTATTCCCCACCTTCCCCCAGTAATTCTCATCTCCAGTTATAAATTGGATATCAGTGATGCCGGAGTATCTGATAAAAGCACAGAGCGGAGCGAAGCAACCAGCTGTGGCAAGCTCCATAGTAACATAGTGGCAGTAGAGATCAATCTGAGTCACAACAGGAGAGTAAGCGTCTCACATCTAGCATGTTGATTGTCTGTCTGCAGACATAATAGCATCTACCACAACTGAACTTTATTTTGTCTTTGACATGGAGGCAGATCATTATACTTCCCCTTGCATAGTGTCTAATTAGCATCCAGTGGCGTGGGAGTTGCTTGTAAAAAAGACCTCATACATTCCATGCCCAGGGCATGGCTCGAGCTGAACCTCCATCATAGAACAGAGCGATCTGCCTGTCGTAGTTAATCAAGTAATAAGCAGATACAAAAGGAATAAATGTATTGGGTATTGCCTGAAGGAATATATTCCACCTGAGACTATCACACGCAAATATCTTACCTTATAGTTTGTCGGAAATGAAGAAAAGATATTGGCTGACAGATCTCTTATGTATTGATTATATTTTTCAGTATGGTTCTTTTAACAAATAAACTATAAATTGAATTTAAACCCTTTTAAAGAGGGGCTTTACCCACGATATATATCTTTATTTCAGGGGAACTATGGCAGGTTTGATCCATCATCGTTCTTTAGGGCTGCCCAGGTCCCTGGTACTAGCATGACCTACTAATGATGTTTAGCAAATGCTGCAGCTGTACTAAAATCAGAACATTGACTATGTATACCTTTAGCTACGTGTTCTGTAATTCTCATGAGCCAGAATTCAGAAAGGACCTCACTGGGTCACTAAAAATGTACTTCCTGTAACTTGCACTGTATGGTTTCCTGTCTTTGTTAATTGTTTTACCAGTCATATTTTCACTTCTGAAACAGGTTTGAAGCTGAATATTATTAAAACGAAAAGGCAAAGAGGCAGCAGTGGGTGGGTTTGGAAAAGCCTCTACTGCGATACATGTAGCAGTTCTCTAATCAGCAGATTACTGTGATTGGGGTGGACAATGGCTCTTTGGCTCTCGGCTCTCCTACACTCATCAGTTCTCTCCAGCCTCCCTGGCTGTCTTCATGTGCCTCCAACAAACACACCTCTTGACTCCAGTTTAACTTCTGGGGGAGTCCTACCTCCAGTCTGTTCCTATTTCCCAGCAGGAGGTAATTACCCTAGTCAGCACCCTTTCCTTAATTCCTGTGCAATCATTGGATGCTGGTTGCTGCTAAACCCTAGAGCCAAGACGTGAGCTTTCTTCCCTCCTGAATCACTTTGAAACCTCCCGTTTCCAGGATCGCAAGCAGAATCCAGAAAATCCATGAAGTACTGAAAAGGCAGCTCTGTAAAAACCCTTGCTTCCTGACACCTCTCATCCACTCGGGCTAGGTGATCATAACACCAACTCGGGCTAGGTGATCATAACACCAAATTATCTATCCACCTACTCTATCTATCTGTCTATCATTCTACCTTCTTCCTATCTATCTATTACATTCTCTCTAGATTGGAATTTTCATTCATTCCTTAAAATGTTATTTATGGCTTTGCATCCTACTTCCATAAAATGCTATTACACTGTCTCAGTGAGCAAGGGATTCATCCTTTCTAAAGAGTAAAAATAGTACATCTTTCTACACATTTTGGCTGTAATGAAAACTAGATGTGACGTGTATATTTTAGTTTAAAAACATATTTATCTAAGAGCCTCTGGAGAGAGATATAAAATAGCGAAACAATTGGTACAAGAGAAAATACTGTATGACTAAAGGAAAACCACAAAATACAGAAATGTTATAGATCTTTATTGGTTGAATATAAAACAGACAGAAAATGATCCGACTGACTGATTATTTTCAGTAAAATCCATTATGCAATTCGGTGACTAATACTGAATATCTCATGAAAACAGATTGGTATTATGTACATCTCCTACTTAACATTTTCCTGTATGCTTTTGATAAAATAGTGAAAGCTATAATAATAATAATAATAATAATAATACATTTATCTTACATTCATAACAGTCTTGAGTGAGTTGTATGCCATTTAATCTTGTAAGTACTGTGAGTTCATTGCAATTGGAGTAATTCTACATCTTCATATTTTGTTTTTTTCTACAGTGTACAGAAGCCAAAAAACATTGCTGGTACTTTGAAGGTTTATATCCATCATATTACATGTAAGTATTAATAAACTTTTCTCTCTAGTGTTTATAAAAAAATATGTTAGGACATGTGCAAACTTTTAATGCTACCACTGAGGTTTGTCTGTATCTTCCAGCCTCGGATTACTGGCATCTCAATTTAGCTATGCTCAGGGGGCAGTGACATAACCCTCGCCTAGGCGAGATTGCCGGAACTCGTTCAGATGAGTGGCAGGCTCCACTGCCCCCCTGAAAAGCTATCCGCTGTTGAACGCTTTTTAGAGTGCAGTAGAGAAGCAGCTGCCCAGCGTTCAGGAGACCATACTTTATTCTCTTTTGTTTCATCCATGGGGTTTTTCCATTGCAATATCCAGGTGTTTGCTGCACGATCCCTTTAATTGCCATGGTCATGCTTGGCAAGCAGCACCACCTGCCAAAAACGACATGCTGTTTGAAATTTGCCACAAGACAAATCATCATGGGCACACCTTGTACTTGTTTGTGCTCATATGCAGAAGCTCTATCAAGTTTTAGGGCTTATTCAGACAGGCGTACACGTCCGTACAGAGTGCACGCCTGTAAAAAGGTGCTGCGTGTAACTGTGCGCCGCAGGCTGTTCTTCCCTATGGGAGGACGTGGCTGCTCATAATTACATGCTGTCACTCGCACACCCAAACCTGCACATACGTGCAGGTCCAGGTGTCCACACTTGGACGCAGACAGTGCGCGTCCAGGTGTGGACACACGGACCCGTACAGATGTGCTGTTTCGGGCGTGAGTGTGACAGTGTGTAATTACACGCAGCCATGTCCTCTCACAGGGAAGAGCAGGCTTCCAGGATCAGGTCCTTTACGGGCGTGCAAGCTGAACATGTACGCCCGTCTGAATGAGCCTTTAAGTGGGTGGTCAGGTAGCAGTAAAAATGTGAATCGCTCCTTGGCTGTCCGTGTGAGTAAAGCCTTAGGTAAACATTTTTTCTGAAAGTGTTTTTTTCAATTTTTTTTATAATCTGGCGTTTTGTAGGGAAGAGCAGGGGGGGACCCGACACACAGGTGGACCTTGTATTTTAGTGTTTTCTCCAGCACATATGGTAAAAACATGCCCTTAAAGCAGAAGTAAAAGCTAATAAAAAAGCCCCCCTGGAGCTTTCAGCTATAATGTGTTAGTATGCCCAGCACATTTTGGCAAACTTAGCTGCCAAACCCATCCCCTCCTCTCTAGCGCTTCCATCTTTGGCTTGGTCCTCTTCTGGGTTCTGATTCTTCGGCTGCTTGATTGGCCGGGCTCTGATGATGTAACTCCCCATCATGTGCAAGGTAGTTACTTCATCTTGTCATGCCGGGTCTATGCGCTGAGCTGCGCATGTGGGGCTCAGTGTGCAGGAAACAAAACTGCTGACAGCTAAAAGAAAGCTTTTATGGCAGAAGAGACTAAAAAAGGCTGGAAAAAATAGAGCAGATTCCTTCATCAACGCTACAAGCACACTGAGTGAGGAATCCCTGCTGTTTCTTTTGTAAGCTGACAGTGGGCGCCAGCCTCTGTGCACAGAAGCTCATTGCCTGGTGGCTCTGTGCGTACGAAAATTTTCGGACTGGCTCCTTCAATCAGCTGATCAATGGATGCCAGCTTAAAGGGTGCTGACAGCGGCACTCACTGTTCGCACAGCTTATGGCAACCTTTACATTTCTGCCATATAAAGCCAAGCAAATAGTATTTTTTTCCCCCCAGAAACTTTAACTTCTGCTTTAAATACTAAAGGGCGACATTCACTGTTACACTGTTATGAAATTAGCTGGTATATGTTTTTTTAGATTGTCTTTGGTCTCATTAATTATATTCAGATCTTGTGACTTTGTGTTGTAGAAGTGTGGTTGCTGAGCTGGCACTATTATTCCACTTTCCATGGGTCTCTGGGTACTGTTTGATTGTTTGGCAGATTATCAAGCTTCTGTTTTTGGTTGACTGCTTTCCCAGGCATCAGAAACATTTTAAAGCGGACATCCTGATTTTTATTATAGGTGTTTCATGAAACATTGTAATTGTTCTATGAAGAAGCCATAGGGATTTATTTACTAAAGGAAGAGAGGAGAGACTGTTCAAATAGTAAGGGGAATGTTAACTTTGAAAAGTTAAAGTGACATTAAACCCTCAGATTTTTTAACATAAACCAATACTGTAATGTGCACCTTACTGTAATCCATGGTAGTTTCCCTTCTCTTTGCTGCTCTTCCTTTTAAATCCTCATGTCTTCTCATGCTTGGGGAGAACTTCCCTTTGCAGCTCAGGGCCTCTTCCTGTAGTGCTGGCTCAGGTTACAAACCTATACAAACCTATACACAGACACCATATATCCATTCCTGAGACAAGGCAGTCTGCTGCAAAACAGAAGTTCTGCCCAGCATGAGAACAGATACAGATTTAAAAGGAAGAGCAGCAAAGAGAAGGGAAACAACCATGGATTACAGTAAGGCACACATTACAGTATTGTTTTATGTTAAAAAATCTGAGGGTTTAATGTCACTTTAATGTTCACTAAGCTTATTAAATACGTTAAACCGACGTTCACGTTGCATACCCAAGCATGTGCATTCCTTTAGCAAAGCAACCACATTTTTAGGCTTAAAGAATTATGGGGTAACCTTTTTTTGCCATAGTTCTCTTCACGGTCACAGGAGGACATATACTAACATCCTCTCTTGACCCAAAACTCAGTATATAGCGGGCTATTGCCCACTATATTCTGAGAGCGCTGCAGCCGGGACGGATCCCGACAATACTGTCGAGATCCACCCCGCTGGCTGATTATGGGGGTGGGCATAGAGGCAGAGCCCCCTATGCCCACCCCCTCCCCTGTCTGTTCCTCCAGTCAGCACTGAAGAAACAGAGAGGGGAATCCCTGACTGACAGAGAGGATCGGGAAGTCAGCGATCGGCGGTATGTTTTCTCTCACAGTATAATTCACTCACCCCATAGTTCTCCTTTAAATGGTAAATTTGGAAATTAGGGTGAATATGTCTCTATGTTGATGATAGAATCACTTTGTGACGTTGTGAATACACATTGTGAATTAATGATAAACTAACATACCTCTCAACAGTCCTGGATTCTTTTGGGCTGCCCCGATATTTTAACAACATCCCGTGGATCCAGGCTGTGCCCTGATGCTGGAATGCTCATTCGGCTCTTTTGCTGTTCTGTTTGGTTATGTAACTAACCAGTCCTTGCGAGGGAAGGGGCCACAGCAGCGACACCGATAATCTCTACCTGTGGGCTGGATATGAAAACATAAACTATTCATAGGCATTATTACATATTTACTTGACCTAATAAAAAACATAACATAAAGTGAACCAACTCATGTATGTTAACACACCGCAACGGGCCGCAGAAGTCTGAATGGGCTTTTAAGCTCCACCTGCTGGCTGGATATGAAAATATATAATATTCATAGATATTATTATACATTTACTTGACTTAATAAAAAAATTACATTTTATTTTGTTTAGCACTTACCTAAAGGAAGAAAGAACATATATACAAAATCAGGGCACATTCCCTTGATTAAGCCACACTTTCCATAGAACTACTTGTATGGAATTTGGGTTTATTGAATAAACTGGGCCACGAGCTTGAACTTGTGTCAGGATATATGTGTACAAGGTACAAAAGTCATAATAGGCTGTCAATTATTTCTAGAATAGTTTTAGCTGTCCTTAAGCTGGGCACATGCAAGTGATTTTGATAGTATTCTCTCACTACTAAAATATCCTGAAAATTGATCTCAATCGATGGCTACACATAAGGAACAATGAAGTGTAGCATAAAATAGCGGTTAATCGCCAATGAGCATATAGTTGTGTGGTCACTTCTACATGCACATATCGGTAGCAATTGCTAATGATTCATCTACTAACAAATTTCCCTTGTTTGTGCCCAATCTTAATTTACTAGCATTAAACTGAACTCTGGGATAAACAAATATTGTGTAAATGCAAGAGCCATGTGTATTCTTACGTGAATCTTGGTGTCGTTTGTGTATTTCCTCCAGATCTGTGCAGTAATCCAATGTGAATCTTTGCCTCTGTGCAGGAGCTTCCTGTAATAAAGACCGGTCACTGCTGCTCTCCTTTCTTGTGCAGGGTGACAGGTCTTGTATCTGCCCCTTCCTGTAGTTTTCTGCTGGCAGCCCATCGTGGGTGGACCTGTTGAGTTGCTCCCACAGTTCTGCCCATTGCACAGGCTATGTGCAGCACAGTGATGACTTCCACTAACGCATTTCATCCATTTGGGCTTAATTGCAGACGATTAGGATCTATGATTAAGCCTAAACAAGTGAAATACATTGGAGGCAGCTGGTAGTACGATGTGGATGATGAGTGTGACCGGGATGTAATGATATCAATAGATGTGATGTTCGGTGGATCTAAGGAGTGCAGCTTTTCCAAATTCTTTATTTAACAAAATCACCAATGACCAAGCATGATCATTAAAGACACCATCCAGAGGCCAAAGTAATGTATAATTGTATTACATTTCCATTAGTGTACAGACATCAGGAAACGAAGATACAACGTAAATCATCCTGCGCCCCCCAAAAACCTTGTGAAAACAGATACCTTGTGCAGTCATTCGTGAAATCTTTTGTTCTTTTTAAGAGTAATCAAGTATGGGAGAAAAGAAAAGGGAAAGGAAGAGGAAATATGCTAAGTGGGGGGTAGCCAAAGGGAGGAAAAGAGGACAGCACAAGAGAGGGAGTGCAGATTTTCCTTTTTGTTTCACATGAGGTTGGAGTGCAGATGAACTCAATGCCCGCACCCTTGATGTTTCTATGGAGAGTAACCTACGTGGGAATCGGATCAGTGATACCTTAATTTAAAGAGGTACTGAAACACTTCAAACTCCCAAGTGAACAGGGACAGAGACAGCTATTACGACAGGGAGATCTTACTGGAGTATCCAAGAAATATTAGAAGTCAAGGTCCGACTCAGCCCATCAGGCTCCACCTATGACTATCATATTTGGGTGGCTGGCTCTT